ATAAAAACATACTCCATCCCCAAGTAAGAGAAATCAATTTCCTTAAAACCAAAAAAAAAAAACAAAAACCCAAACCAAAATAAAATCAACACCCCCTCCATCAGTGATCCACAGCAAACAAGACTGCTGGGTCACAATACATTCTCCAATTTCTATTTTCTGTTTACTTCCCTAGAATCTGAATGGATGGGAAACACGTAAAAATGTAGAACCAGTTGAGTAGTTTGTTACTATTTCTGATGGAAATTGCGGCAAAAGGGAGAGGGTACATTTTCGGTGGGTTAGGGTTTGACTTCATCCCTACCATTAGTTAGTAATGGAAATGAAGGTTCACATTCAGATTGAGAATTAGCCAAAGATATGACTAGAACAGAAGATGGTCTTTCCAGGTCAAAGCTAAAACCAGGGGTTTAATGAAATCACTGACTTACCCAAATGTATACAGTGGGCTCAGCCTGAACCCAGTTGAGAGAGGGAAGTGAGTCATTTGGAAAAAGGAGACATGTGCTCCCCCCACCCTCCCACACATCCCATTCTGAGACTTTGGAGTCTAGTGGACACACATCCGAGAGCAAGAAGAACAATGGCAGAGAAACTAGGTGATAGAAATGAATTCAGAGCAGGCTTGCGGACTGCTCACAGGCCTGACAGAGAAGTGGACAAATCAAACAGTCCCTCAGAGGAGAGAGATGCTGAAGATGGCTGACTCCTGGATTCATGCGGTGGAGACAAAAGACCCACTTCAGGCACGTGTACAGATATGAGCTCACCTCAAGCTAGCACAACACCTGGTGACCTAAGGCACAGCTGGTCGAGGGGCAGGGGGGATGGAAAACACAGTGCTGAATGCCCTCCAAGGCAACCAAATATTTGACAAGACAGCACCACGAAACCATTAAAAAGGTTAGACCAAGACTAGGATAGAAATAAGGAAGTTCAGAGAAAGAAGTGGGGTGTAGTAAAAGCTGCAAGTCAGGGATGTGTTGGAGAAGTTAAGGGAAGGACAGCAAAAAATAACAAACTAGAAAGTCTGATGTGGAAAGCACAGGGGCTCAACGGGAAGAGTGAAGAAGCTAAAAGCAGCTAAGACCCTCAGCAGGCTGAGAGGGGAGGCTAGGCAGGGTCTGCAGGGCTGTCTGCATCCTATGCAGTATAATGATGGGAGGGCATGGTCAGTGTCCTCACAGGAAATTCAGTACAGGAATAAGGGCTTTGGCACACAGCCATGTTACTCAGGGCCAGCAGGGAGGATGTCAATGAAAGTCACTGCCAGACTGCACACCTTTTCAGTCAGCACAAATTAGACCTCCAGAAGCCAGCAGGCATCTCCAGATTCCAATACACCATGCCATAAACAGACACTAAGCCGAACAATCAGAATGTTTTAATCATTTCACAAATAATTGGGTAGACCCAAATTTACAAGCCTGAGTTTCAAGAGAACGAAACAGGTGGTAATAAAGATATTTTTCCAGATCTTGCTATCAGCTATTTTCATTCTGCCTTATTTAAAATATTTACATTTTCAATTTTAGAGTTCTGCTTCATTCCAATTCCGATTCGATTAACTACACTGAGATATTCATATTCTCTTGACTGTTTTCATAATGTTCATTTTATTAATCTAAAAAAAATGCCCTGTATTTTTGAGTCTCCTCCCTAAAGTCTTGTTAAGAATGAGATCAGCCAAAGAGCCTCATCCTGAGAATTGAAAGTGAGTTTCCAGACCTCAGGTGCCCCATTCTGACCATCCTGAAGACACAGTGGGGTGAACAGCTGGGTGCCTAGGGCATCTCGATGATGCCCAGATGTGCCACTTCCTGAATCCAAGGGAAGCCCGAATTTCCTTAAGAAAACGAGCTCTACTGTTGATGCATTGTCCTTTTCTGGAACAACACACCTGAACTCACTGAGTGCTCGGCATTTTAGTACATCAAATCGCCCATGTGGAGGACATATGTTTAGAGAGCGAGTTTGGGGGTAAAACACGTGATCTTCCTTCAAGAGTGCCATGTGGGTATTTAGAAGGATGAATGACTGGCAGGAAACACAGCTGGCCTCATTCTCAAATCTGACTGAGGTGTAGAGCAGTAACTGAACTTCAGCCAGAGAAGGGATATTGGTCTCCATATTTCCATGAAGAAAGTAAATCATGTCAACCAACGTTGCCTGGAATTTGGAGGAGAAATGAACTCCATTTGCCAGAACTAAATCAGGGATTTCTGCCTTCCAATCAAGAGAAAGCTGAACAAGATCCTGCCGGAGTAAAGGGTGATTTCTGTAGGCTGCAGCTTCAGACTCTTCTATCAGGACATGGAGGAGGTCCCAGCATAGCTGTTGAGAGAGGTTTTTATTGTAACTGAGCACAGTAAGCAGCAGGTCCTGTGTGGCGCCCAGGAATCGAATGCTCTGCCCAGCAAAGCCAACTTGAATCTCCTGCAGAGCAGAGAGAGGAAGGACATGAAAGATGTCCATGGAGGCCAGGCAACTATCTGACAGGACCAGAGCACACAAAGTTGAAGGCAACAGGAGCAAGCATGCGGGCTGGGGGTCAGGCTGGGTGCAGTTAGCAACCGAGAGCCAGTAAATACCTTTGACTTGCTTCACATCACCCAAATGCTCTTGCAGAGAACAGCTCAGGTATGCAAGTAGGTCTGTGAGAGGGTGATCCTGAAGCTTCAGCATTTGCTCTGGGAATGGTACAAGAGTCTGCTTAAATGCAGAGACCTTTCCAGCATCTTCATAGTCAACACAGAAAACTGAACTTGGTGAGGAACCTAGTGAGCCTGTGGCCGTGAAGGGAAAGTCTGTGGAAGGTGCCATGTTCTCTGCTGACTGTGGGCTCTCGGAGTCCTTGCTGTTGTGGCTTCCAACCTGAGTTTCAGAAATGGGAGGAGCTGGTGGCACCACGTATGACCTCAAGGGCAGCTCTTGGGGTAAGTGCTCTAGAAATGGCAGGCTTCTGATAAAAGTTGTTACATGGGAGGTAAATCCACTTGGGTCACACATATTTCCTACATGCTTGGCTTGGCTCATCACTTTTGTGGCAGCCTGCATCAGGTGCCCACTGGTGTCTTTATAAAGGTCTGAGAATTTGCGGTAAAAATACCCCAGCCGCTTCTCTGCTTCTGCCCTGATATTAATCAGTGGTGCTAGAGAGCTAGTGTTTTCAGCAGCCAACTCTTTCTTATTTTGCTGCTCACCAGAGGCTGGTGCACTCTGAGGGGAGTGGCCAGCTAGGTGTTCCTCTCGAGAAATGCTTTCAGAGAGTACAAAGCAGAGCACCCTGCTTTGCATTGCCTGCTGGCTTCCTCTGTGTATAGATACTTGCTGGGACAAGTGTTTCAGCAATGCCCAGCTGGACTCCATTCCCAAGCTGTGTTCGTCTCCAGGGGTCATCAGCTCATTACAATTTTCTGATTTACCCTGAAAACTGTGTGCATCTCTGGTGTTGCTTTTGGTAAGAGACGTGATTTCAGGTAGATGAAGACATTTTGATTCAAGATGGCCAGAGTGCTCAGGGTGATGATGTTTGTAACCAATGTCCTGAAACACCTCAGGGCCTGACATGGGTTGGCTCCAGTTGTTTGAATCCACCTCATTCTTCTCCTCTCCAAGGAAGTTGGAAGTGTCAGTGGCATCTTTGGGTAGAAACGAGACATACTGTGCAGACCGAGCCTGCCTTTTCTGTTTAGGATGTCAAAAGAGGTTGAAATGGGGATGTGCTATTACTCTGTGTGATTCTTTAGTGCATGATGATTTTTGTAACCATTGGATTCATTTGGGTGGATTAACTGAGAGGTTAAGTAGAAAGCCTAAGTCATTTGTATTGATTGAAACATGATTTAAAAAGAGATGATCTGATTTGTATATAGTAATCAATTTCCATATTATATGTCATTACAAATCACTGGGTATTTTGATAGAAACACCTGATGTAGGATTGACCCACAGTATCCATTTCTTGGTCTAAGATCACAGTCTCTCTAACATGAACCCCTAAACTTTTGAGTCAATGTTTAAAAGGTCACAGCTAGTTGTATGACCATACGTGTAAAATGCAGACTAAACAGACCAAATCAGGGCATATGAGAAGAAAATCAGTAAGGCCAAAGAAATTTACAGACATTCCAATCCAAGTCACATTTATCTTTTTTGGTTCATTTCATGGGAGTCTTGAATCACGTGCTCCCTGATTGGAATACCATCACTGATAGCTACAAGTCATCACTATGGAAGGCTGCATGCCTGCCTTGTCTTGGTCACTGTGGATACGAAGAATGTGGCAGCGTCTTGGTCTGCCTGAGTTACCTGCTGGAAGAAGGGTGTCTAAGGAGGCTAATGTCATTACTGGGTGTGATAGGAGAGAGTGAGTGTAGTCAAAGTCAGTCAAGATGACTATGGAACACCCACCCTCTTGCTCTGTTTGATGGTGGACAATAGATAGGGGAAGAGTTCTACTACGTAGAAACTTTTTTTAAATTAGGGAACTATATGGGAATGATATGCCCCTTGTTAGAAGAAAATATAAGTGAATTCTTACGAATTGTACTCCCAAAGAAATGTGTGACAATCAACCAGAGGAACAGGCTGAACAATAAAAGGGGACTTCCTATGTAATACCGCCAACTCAGTCTATAAAATGAACATTTAAAAAAAAATACTGAGAAGTACTCAGTTCAATTTCCAATCCCCTTATCTGATTCTGACTGTGTAATTCTGCCTTTTAAATGCAGACCAAGGGAAAGGATACTGTTAGGAATGAGGAACTGGGCACATCTCCATCACAGCTACAGGATATTCGAATAAAACTAAAGCTGGTTTGGGCCTGCAGGATTCCCTTTAATTTTAAGTTCATTTAATAGCTTTCCTTCCCTATTAGCCATTAATCTCACTGGGACTTCAAAATTCTAATTATGCAACTAAACATTAAGAAAATTTAATCACACAAGCATGCCATAATTTAAGTAACCCTATCAATCTGAAAAATCATTACCTACCTCATATTTTAGCTTACGTTGAATGGTGCCATTGTGAAGTTCCTCATTACCCTGGAAAGAAAATAAAAAGCCTCCTATATTAAATTATAGCATGCTCATAGAGGAGAGAAAAACTGATTCCATTACAAGTATTTATGGGAACAAAATTCTAAAGAAACATACTTGTCATTCAAAAGTGAAAACCCTTCTACAGGAAGTACATTCCCAAAGGAAATATGTCTCTTATTGAATTATTTGCCAGAAAGAGAATGGAGCCATTTATTTCTAATCTTGAAATTCAAAGAATAATATTACAAGCAAAATTTCCTTAGGATATTTCTTAGTTTGAAAGTTAGAAATGAATTGTATTTCAGTATGGAAATCAGTATTGTGGTACCTAAATATGTATACATGTGTGTCTGTGTGTATATATGTGTGTGCATATATATATATATGAACAGAAGTACCATATGATCCAGCTCTGCCACTTCTGAGAGTATGTGCAAGTGACTGAAGTCAACCTGCACCGGAGAGCTCACACAACCATGTTTATCACAGCATTAAGAGGCAAGTTAAGAAGTCGGCCTAGGTGCCTATCGAGAGATGAATGAAGAAAGAAAATGTGGTACTACAGAACAATGGAGTTTTACCCAGCCACAAAGAAGAACAAGCATCCCTTAATCACAGGGAAATGGAGGGAATGAGTCATCATGTTAACCAACGTAATCCAGACTCAGAGAGAGTGGTGCTGTGTCTTTCTTCTCATGTGTACAATTTAGAAAAAAAAAAATCAAAACAGAACAAAAAACAAAGCCCTATCAGGGCATAAAAGTGAAACGGGACGGTTAGGGATGTGGATGGAGACCATGGGCAGGGGACGGGCAACAGCAAGTAAACATGAGGAAAATGTCTTACACATATGGTCAAAGTATGACAACGAGATAAGTCTGTTATTTTGTAAAATTCATATATATCAATAATAAAGAAATAAGCTTCCATCTTGATAAAAATCAGCTTATCACAAGTACTCATCTTCTGAAAGGGAAACTATATATCTAATTTCAATAATTATTTACAAAGTAAATAATATATTATTGAAATTGGTATTTGGGAAAAAGTAGAAATGTTGCATGTAGATTTTTTTTTATAAATCAAAGCAAATAAAGCAAGTTAAGAACTTTGACACGCACTTAATAAAAGTTTCCTCAAAACTAAAAATGTGTAAAATAAGCTGCTCTTCAATTAATTATATTTGAAAACCATTCAGCTCCATCCAATCAACATTTAATGCTCTTTCTGGAACATTCCACATCTGAATTTTCATTAAGCAGCAATAATGGCCATATAATTTGGCTCCTTCATCTCACCTTCATCACATCTGCAGCTACATGGCTGGCATCACCAATTGCCCGGTGCAAATCATGAAGGCGTCTTTGGACCTCTTCCTCGATGTAAGCACTGATTCTGAAAACCATGGAAGTGGGACAGTTAGGAATGCATCTAGTTGTTATAAATGGTTATTGGCTCTGTTAAAGGCCCCCAACGGGGGCCTTTTCATGACAGACATGGTAGAACTGGAAAGTGCCATGTTAAAGCCAAATAATCCAGATTCAGAAAGAGAGGCATCACATCTTTTCTCTAAAATGTGCAATTTAGAAAAAAAATCCAAAAGAGAACAAAAAGGAAAGTCCTATCAGGTCATGAAAGTCCTAATACTCATTTTATTATTTATTTCCATATAAATCAAATTTGGGATGAAAGCTTTTTTTTTTTTTTTCCGTCTTTTACAAGAAATCTGGCACCGTGCAGTCACTATCTGAGTTTTCCTCAAATGAAACAGAACTGGATTGAATACCAGGATATTGGAACCAGAGACAGTAAGTGACTCCATACAAATTTTTCCTGGATTTTATTAGTAGAAACACATTGCAGGATAAAGGAAACCTGTGGTCACGGCTATCAGAGGCTTTGTGCACAAAGATCCTTATTTAAGACATATGGTTTCCTCATATGAAAAAGGAAGACACAGATGACATTTATTTTTCAATCACAAGGCCATTTATGATAATTATGAAAGTTTAAAAGAGGCAGAGGACATCCCAGTCTCAACTGGTCAACTAGAACAACGTCTTGCATTACTCCTAGTCTGGCTTATCTCTCCAGTTGGGCTATTTGCATATAGTCAGTGAGGCTGCATCAAAAAGGTTTCTTTAAGCAAGACTGCTTGGCACAAGGTGAAAAGAGAGAGGAAGTCCAAAACTGTTGGCTTCTGAATTAATTGCCAAGTAATCTCTGGTGCCCTATGGAATGCAGATGAATCTGTGTGAAGTATAACTATCACCCCTGACCATCCCAGTGGCTTTCAGTGCAGTCTTTGGTCTGCCGATAGGCCACGCCTCCCACAGGGAACAGGGTCAAGAGAATGTTTTAGTCACATCAAAAATCCTTCCAGTGACTCAGACTGCCCAAAGCCAGCTTAACTTGGTTCTAGGCATACTTCCTCCAGTTCCACAGTTTCTTCCTTTTCATCCATCCATCTATCCATCCATCCATCCACCCATCCATCCATCCATCCACACTCATTCATGGGTATATGTATATGGGCATATGCATGTTCGTGTGGGTAGGGACACATTTGTGTAGAACAAGGAGGACAGACAAGCTTCAGCACCATTCCTCAGGTACCATTCACCTTTTTTCTTTTTTCTTTTTTTTTGAGAAAGGGTCCTTCACAGGACTGGCACTTCCAAAGTCGACTAAGATGGCCGGCCAGTAAGCCTCAGGCTCCACCTGCATCTGCCTCCTCAGTGCTGAACTTGTATAAGTACCACCTCGCCCAGCTTTGTTTCTTCACATGGGCTCTAGGGATTGAACTCGGGACCTGAAGCTTACAAAGCAAGCATTTACTGACTGAGCTAGTACTCAAGCACTTTTCCCAGTACTAGATGGGTTTTTAAATTCAGTAGTTTCATATTTATGCCTCCATACATTCACTAAAATAAATAAATCTGTCTTTGTAGATAAAGATGTAAAAATCTTAACATTTTGTGCTAAACAACAAAGAAACAATTTTCTAAAATGCGGGGTAAAGACATTAATATTTTGATAGAGTACCCCAAATAAAACACACTATTTAACTTTCAGTATTGAAACCAAAATCATGTAGAGCTGAAAATGAACTATGGTCATTTATAAACTACCTCCCCTGTCCTTCACTGACATTTTAAACTGGCCCCATGAAAAAAAAAATCACAAATCTATACTAAGGGGCTAGGGAGGTTCATGCCATTTTGAGCACATTTTGATATCCAAATATTTAGCTCCTATACACAGGCTGCAAAGCTACCCAGCTAGAAACTTCCCTAAGATACAATTCAGTTACTTTTCAACCTGGCCACTTGCAGCACTGTGTTCTGAAAGAGTTGGCTTCTCTGCATCTTTTAATTCTACTGTCTCACTCAAACTGTTTGAACCAAACTCCTTGGATTTGGCTGGCCAGCTCTTATGTCACTGATTTCTATCACACACAATTCCCATCACCTTGCCACAGGCCAGGCAGCATCTGGTAAAGACAGTACATCTCAAGCACAGCATTCCTGTTGCCTCTGATAGACCCCCTCCATATGTAAACGAGCTAATATGGTACAAGCCATTAAATAAAATCAAAGCAAAGCATGGAAGTGGTTGGATGTTGCATACCTGGCATCCATCAGTGGAGCCAGATGACAGTTTTCAGCACTGGGTGGCAAGCCAGAAGCAGCAGCCTTCCCCTGCAGGGTCTCATGATGATGTCGTTGAACACTATCCATCTCACAGATTTTCTGCTTCAGCTGCTGGATTTCATGTTCTAACCTAAAAAGATGTGAGCCACACGAATCCACTAATCAACAATAGTTCACGAGATCATTCTCTCTAAGAAACTTTGTTCTAAAAACCATGGGGGAACCAGAAAGAATTCAAGAAGCTTTACCTTTTAGAAGAAAAGATACCATGCACACACACGTAAAGCCAAGGAATACAGTGAAAATGAGCCAGGAGAAGGGCACGGAATGAGTGCTGCAGGCATTCAAGTGTTAGAGGGCCTGACCAACCAGGACAATGACACTTCTGCTACATTCCAAGCAAGTCCTTGGAGGTAGCTAACCAGGATTCTGAGTCCCTCAAGTCTCACTTTAGCAAGAGCTGGTTGTGAATTATATACCAAAATTCTGTTAAAAATTTTGCTTGAAAATATCTATGCTTCAAAAAGCTTGCAGAAACCACCAATCTAGGAGGGAGTTCATGGTCAAGGTAAGTCTTCAAAGGCTATTGGAATGTGGGGCATTTAGAGAAGACATTGGAAGACATTCTAAGTACAGAAAGCAAAGAAACTATGCCATCAAAACCAGGAAGACACTTTGGCCAAGGCAGAGGGAGTGGGAAGTGGAAGCAAGGGAGGCAGACATAAGAAATAAAGCTGAGTTCCCTGGGAAAACTAGCTCCAGTGATATGTGACCCATCTCATAGGATATCAGCTATGTGAAATGTTGACCTAGGTGAGCTTGAATCCTGGACCACCAGGCTGGACAAGGCCCAAGCTTGTTGGTAAATTTGGCCTCAGGGAACTAAAACCCAGCAGCTAAAGGCTATGTACCTCACTAAGTGTGAGTAGAAAGAAGTTATTAGAATCTGAGTTTCCATTTCTTCCTGGATCAAATGAGATCAATCAACTCTTTGATAATCTCTTCCATTTTCTTAAACTCTGAAAATCATAGACTTTAGCTTCAAATGCTGACACATCATGATGCTGCCGACCTTCTGCTGTCACCAGCAGCAACTTGACTGCTTCACCTGAACATGAAAGTCAAGGTCTTACTTTGTAGAGATGTGATCCTGGTGTCAGGAAAGGAAGTAGTCATGGGTTCTTATAGCAGGTCAACTCAGGTCTTATCTGTCTATCCATTAGCAAACATTTCCTGAGCATCAACTTTCAGAACATCCAATATTTTCAAAAGAGAGAATCAGTATAAAAGAGCTGTGTAAGGAGTTGGATGTGGTGGCACACACTTGTAAACCTGGGAGGTTCAGGTAAGCATATCAGGAGTTCATGGTCATCCTCTGCTACTTAGAGAATTTGAGGTCAGCCTGGATGAGACCTTGTCTTAACCAAACCAAACCAAACCAAAGAATGGTGCAAAGGGCCACATGGAGGGCAAATAATCAGGGAACAGTATCAAGAGGGTCTCAGCAATAGCAAGGAAACAAGCAGGATGCGGGCAGATAATGAGCAATGTTCACGATCTGATGCCTATTGTGGTTGCTCACAGGTGTCCTTCAAGGCAAAGACAGTGAAAAAGACTACAGAGGCAACTTAGCAATGAGAGTCTGAGTGGGGTCTTACAGACTCAGTGAGATTTATCTGGGTGTCAAGGGTCAAACAGGAATTCCACAAAACAGATCCTATGTGAAGAACTGCCCTGCCTGTATTTCGGCCACAGGGTCAACCCACTCAGATCTGGGCAGGAAACAGACCTATATCCAAGTCACCAATCTGCCACTCTTTGTGTGTTACTAATCCCCAGTAGCAATACGACCACTGCAAATTTAAATCCCCTCCCTGTTACCTAGGGATGGTGGCACTTTTTCACTAGAAGACTCAGTGACAACACGGGCATGGCATTTGAAACACGTTTTTGGTTACACAGGATTACTCCTCACGGAGGTCAACTTCATTACTGAGGACTCAGATAAAAAAACTGATTGAATGTGGGTATCACAGTTTCCTCCTATCTCTTCTATGATGACAGAAGGGCTTTCTCGTGGAGGTACCTGCCACATGTCATTGGGGCAGCTAGAATGAGCAGCAGTGGAACAATAGTGAAATAGCTTAGCCTTGTTCATAATGCACTGAGGAGCCAATTCAAAAGCATGTCCAGCGCAGCAGTGTTGTCCTATCTGGTGCCATATGGGTTCAGTATTTTACACTTGTGCAATTTCACAAAGGCCCAAGTCAGGCTGCACAGTGGTCCTGGTTTAACATGAGATGTCAAAAGGGAAATAAAATGTGGCAGAAATGTCCACAGAAGGCTGCTGGAGTATCACAGGCAGTGTAAAACGCCCAGAATTCATCAGCTTGAATTAGATCTTAGCGAAGTCTATTTCAACAGAACTCGGGAAGCTAACTGCCTGCCTCCTTTGCAAGGCTTCTGGAGGAATGCTGACACCGGGGAGTCTCTTCCACAGAGATTTCAAAATCATGTCTGCTATTATAGAGTATTAATACTAAACGGTTGCTTGACAAAAGTCAGGGATGTCAAGCTAAAAGCTCACGCTGCACTTACTGCACATTGCAGGATACAAATTGAGAGCGTGCCCTCCACTTCTTTAAATTTCCTGGGGCTGGTTTGTCCAGCAAATTCATTTTCATAACATACCTGCAATCATTTTCTTAAACCTTACGACCTATTTCTCTGAAATAACAGCATTATGGTTTTTGATTATTTTGTTTCTGTTTCACTACAGGAATTGCCAGAGAGTGACTGTAAATATAATCCACAGGATAAGCAGATCATTTAAAAGGAAGCTGTCTTGACCTTCTCAGGATATGTATGAATGGTGCAGTTAAAACTTCTGAGAAGGTCTTGCTTTGCCTGTGCAACTTTTCCTATGTCTCTGTCAAATGCCGAGTTGGAGTCTTGAGGCCACTGTAGACAGAATTCTGATGATTGTGGCTAGCACAGGACAGGGTCTCAGGTCCTTCAACCTAGGATTCAGTCAAGATCTATAAACTGAAGTTCACTGGAAAAGCCACACCTATAATGAAAATTCTGAAGACTTATGTACTAATTAGAACTCTGTGATGATGGAGAGTTGCAATGTTACAGCTAGAGTGTTAAAATTATTTGGGGCAATTTTTGTTTACCTTCATAGCCAGTTATCAGTCATGTGTATATTTGGCCCAACATCCTTCTGACTCTTAAGATAAATCTATTAAGATGTATCTCTAAGCTTGTCATGCCTAGACTCTACCAACCCAATAGCTAACAATGTCATCAGATAGCATGTAAACCCTACAACAGAGATTCCCCCAGTGTGCTAGAACTCACTTATGTCCGCAACAATGTGTTTGGTAAATGCACTGATCCGTGACTTTCACTTGTTTTATAAAAGTTCATGAGACCACTTCCACCAGAGTAGAACATGACATTTAGGACAACCTGAATCTGTGTTCCAAAGCCATGGTCTCTCAAAACTGGCTCAGTTTAAACTATCTCTTAATCCCTTTAAAGCAAAAGCTCTGTTTTGTGCCAACAACTCAACTGACAGGAGTGTGTAGAGCTAAAAGTAAATGGATGGGACCTCGGCTCTCACCCACCCCCTCTTAGAATTTCCCCAAGGTCATTCACATAGGACATGGAAGACCAGCCAGGGTATGACCCTTGCTTGTAAGTCTTTGAACTGGATTATGTTCACACACAAAGTAGTCCTTAGCCTTTGAGGCATTCTTAGAATGACTGTAAGATCCCAGAAAAGATGCTCTCAGATTCATGTGTTTTGAGAGCCTGGTCATCAAGGTGACAGAACAGGGCAGAAAGATAAATATTCTTTCCTTACCATGTAAAGACTGCTCACTTCATAGTTTTAAACAGCACCCCAAATGGTACCAATATATTATAAAACATGCTTGAATGTTCTACTGAGTTCAGAATCACTGGGAGAATGTGCTTGTAGGTTTAGTTGGTTGTCTTTTAATACACATTTGTGAGGTCTCGTCCCTAATACTGTAAATTGGTATATATGGGGAAAATACTCAATCTTAGTTCTCCTCAAGCTCATGATACATAATACATGCATTCTGGGTACAGTGCTTTACTGTATCCAGTGCTGCTCTTAGAGAAGACAGGAAGTTACCAGTGAAGAAGGACAAGGATGGCAGAGGGGAAGTGACAGGGGTGGAGAAGACAAACGTAGACAGAGAGAGGGAAACGGAGGGAACAGCAAAGGAACAAAGGATGGAAGAAACCAAAGGGGGACAGGAACGGGAATCAAGGCTGAAACTTTCCCAGTCTTTTGCAGTTATCAAAGTATGAAAACACACCTTCCACAGATCAGTGAACGGAAGGGCAAGGCAAGGACTTTGTTTTGTTTATGTGCTTTCTCAACTTTAGGCCAATGATTCTAAGATCCAATGAAAAAAACGAAAGAACAGTTTGGGGCACTCTTTTCAGGTTTTTTTTTTTTTTTTTTAATACATTTGCTTGGCGCAGCTAACAATTGCTCATAACTCTGGTTCCAGCCTTTTCTGTCCTCCGTGAGCATTGCGCAACATGGGTGCCCTTACCTACATGCAGGCGATACATGCATACACATAAAATAAAAATAATAAATAAAATATTTAAAATATATTTGCCTATGTATTAAGAACATAAAGTCTCAAAGAATCACTTTTCTAAAGGGACACTGAGAAACATTATGAGAGGCTGAAAATAAGCAATCGCTTGGCACCTACTGAATGCCTCCCTCCCTCTACCCCAGGCTCACCTCCATCGGTCCTTTACATGCATACACATAAAATAAAAATAATAAATAAAATATTTAAAATATATTTGCCTATGTATTAAGAACATAAAGTCTCAAAGAATCACTTTTCTAAAGGGACACTGAGAAACATTATGAGAGGCTGAAAATAAGCAATCGCTTGGCACCTACTGAATGCCTCCCTCCCTCTACCCCAGGCTCACCTCCATCGGTCCTTCTCCAGGGCTTCTTGCTCGGCCTCCAGGCTAGCCCGGAGCCCTGACTGCTCACTGCCACTGCTGTGAAGAGAGGCAAGTTTGTGCCTCTGCTCTTGGATCTCCAGGCCCAGGGTGGAGCGTCTCTGCAGGGCAGAATGCTGCTTCTCCAGCTTGGCCACAGCCCGCTCCAGTGCCTCTCTCTGCTGCTTCTCCAGGGACTCCAGAATTTCCTTTTCCTTTTTCCTCACTTTCTCTTCCTGTCTGGCGATGTTGGCTGTGAACTCGAAGGTGGCCTGGAGCTGCTGCAGCTGGTTAGCACTATCCCGGTACTGTACAATCTGCTCTTCTTTTTCTTCCATTTCTTTTTCTACTTGGTAGAGAGTGTTGTCTAAGCTCAGAGCACCCCTGTTAAGGATTTCAAGAGCCCTCTGCTTTTCTTCCAAAAGAGCGGGCAAATGATTTTGCAGAAGGTCTCGCAGCTGGCGCTCTTTACTCTGCAGCCTATACTCTGCTGGTTTTATTTTCTCTAGATCTTGAGTCACACAGGCAGCGTTGCTGATGCTACCCTCATTTGTTGCCAGCAACCTGGCTTCCTTGTCACTGTCACATTTTATACTCTTGAGGGTTTCCTGCTCTTCTTGAACTTCTTTTCCCAGGAGCTCTTTCTGCTGGACCAGGTCCTTTTCCAAGGTCGCCAGTTTGACAAGCTGCCTTCTCTTGAACTCCAAGAAATGCTGCTGAGCCTGTTCTAGTTCCTGGTCGCAGGCATGGTCCCCTGCGGCCCGGGCCTCCTTGGCCTGCAGGAGCGCTGCTCGAATGCCTTCTAGAATCCTCTTCTCCTCCTCAGCCCGCTGGACCTCGGCATGATGTAGCAGTGGAACCATCTCCTGCTTCTCCCGCAGCTGCTCCTCCAGGTGTGCCACACGCAGCACCTGCTCCTTCTCCTGCTCCTCCAGCCTCCTTTTCTCCAGCTCCAGCTTGGCGCTCTGGGCATCTTGCTCCCGGTGCAGCCGGTCTAGCTCCTGGAAGATCTGGACCTTCTCCGCCTGCTCGTGGTTATTGAGTTCTTGGAGCCTCCGGAGCTCCTCTCTGACGCGGGGAAGGCCCTCTTCCTCCTGCCGCTTCTTCTGCTGCTCCAGCTCCTGCTGTTCCCTTAGCCTCTCTTCCTCAAACTTTTCCTTCTCGGCCAGCAAGTCCTTGAGCTTGTTCTCAATGTGGAAGCTGCGGCGTTTGAGGCTCTCCTCCTGCTTGCGGATCTGACGTTGCACGATCTCGGTCTCCTTGCGTTGGGTCTCCACCTCCTGCTGCATCCGCTCCAGCTCTGCCTTGTCGGATTTCTGTTTTTCCTCCATCTCCTCAATGAGTTTCCTACAATGCAAATGGTGATTGGTCATTATTTGATCCCTACATTCAGACATCACTCTAACATCCTCTGAAACCGTTATCTTTCAACTGGAAGGTTCTGAAAATGTCCAGGTAGCATGAGGCTGACCCTTCCGTACAATAAAATAAACATTTCAAATTGTTCAGCAGAACACTATTTCATTTTCTTTATTTACTGTCCAACAGATCATCTGCCTGGTCTCCTGAAGAAGCTTCTCATATCATTTCCTTGTGAAGCTTAGAATCATAATGTGTTATGCACGATATAATTAAAAAAATCCCCCTGAGCTCAAAGAGAAAGCACCATGTCCAATTTAAATTTAAATGTGGATAATTTTATTCAGCCCAGTGACTAAAATGCAACAGAAGTTCAGTGACAAGATGACATTAAATAAAAATGCTTTTGCTATCTTCAACGCACTAGGGTCAAATACCAAAGTCAGAGGAATGAACAGCTGATTATTCCAGCTTTAAAAAAAAACCAAAGACCCTACATGGTCTTTCACATTTAATCACTGGTTTAGGACAAATCATGATTACCAAAATGGCTTAAAACATTGAAAACAACTGGAATATGTTAGGCTACGCCAATAGATGGGGTTTACATGTTGTGTTTTCTGTTGGGGTACAACTGATTCTCACATAGTGCTAGATCAGGCTAGAGAGCTGGGGTGGTCTCTAAAGCAAGGGTGTGGAATAATGGTGCTAACAGGTGGCCTCCATCTCCTGACCCCCAAACTCCTGTCTCCTATGATGCTGGAAGGTAAACTCATTTGAATCTGATATTTATACTGTGGATTTCAGAAAATATCTACTTTTCAGATTCTTTATGGTCTAAGCATCTCTTTCGATGTCTATCCTTGGTCTACTTCTTGACTTGTTAAATGGGACAGGGAAGAAAAATAAAAAATATGATTGTATTAAACAAATACTTCAGAACAAAGATCTTGCCAAGTCCAGTAAGCAGTCAGCCACACTTACACACCCCAAATAAAAGCAAACAAAGGACAAGGAGAAGCGAAGTACAGGCGGGAAGTGGGAACAGATGAGCAAAGGTGTTTAAAGGGGGCGTGCTGGCTGCGGGGGTGCATGCCTGTCAATCCTGCACTTCTCACGCTGTAGGAGGCTAGCCTGGGTTACATGGTGAGACCCTGTCTAAAAACAAAGCAAATCAATACAAAAACAAAGCCTAGGGATATAATCCAGTGACAGAGCAAGCATTCGTTCGGAATTCCAACTAAAAAAGTTGGTGAGGGGCAGTTAGCAAGAGAGAAAAATACTTTTGATCTTTCATTCATTGGTTCATATGCTCTTGACCTTTTAAAAAAAAATCAAGGGATAATAAGAGAAGATATGCTTGTGGGTTAAATTTAAACACATTTTATATGCTTAATTTGCTGACTGTTCCCTGTTTCTCACAAGTATTTGAAGATAACCTGCTGTGAAAATTTAAACATGAGGAAAGTCAGTCATGCCTGAGCTATGCAAACAGCAGCCCTGGAAGGAGAGAACCACTGAAACAGACACAGGAGACATCAGCAAAGGACTTAACACAGGACCCACAGGCAGCAGGGAGGCGGGACCCTCACAGGGCTTACCTTTTACTTTCTAGCTTTTCAAGTTCTTCACGCTGCTGCCTCTCAAATTCAAGTCTGATGAAACCAAATGAAAATAAGTCATTTTTGTGATAGGGCGTTTCTGTATACAGAGTGACATTACAGCATCAGTTTAAGTATTATTTTAGTTACTGTAGATTAGCAAGTTTAAAATGCATTCTTTGCACTATGATTATGATTAGAAATTAGATATAATTTTAGGTGTTTGAACGTAGACTGAAAAGAACAGATTTGATTTGAAGGAAAACAAAATGTCACTGTATTTTTTTAATAAAAAAACCAAACAGAGTTAAAGACAACTTCTAAATGATAAGCAGGTCTATTCCATACAGCTTAGACACTGATGAGTAAGTAAAAAGGAGAATCTCTACCTTAGACAGATGGGTCCTTTTATAGGGAAAAGACTGCCAGGGAGGTAGAGGGGGAGAGAGCACAGACATGGATTTAGAAAACAATTCAACAGGAGGAAACATAAGCAGAAAAGCAGTAATGTACGTAAAAACAGCCATGCACAAATCAAAGTCTTTTTTATAAATATCACACTTCCCAATAATTTCATGAAGCAAACATTATAAAAAGTTAGCTTGTTATGTTTTGCACACTTCTCATGATAATAACTACTGAGCACAGAAAGTGACTAATCACAGCAAAGCCCTAGTTTCAGTACTTTGCAGGTAGCTGCGCTGCTTGTCCTTTCGTGCTGGGTGTGACAGTGAGGGCCATGAGGCTGTACAGATTTAGTTATTGCAAAATTAAGGAAAGTAGGTCACTGGGAATTTTCAAATACTGATAGCACAAAGTAATTTCCCAAGTCCTAGATTTAATCATTGCAAGGTTTCACTGTTCCAATTAAACATCATGAGCTGTAATGCTTGAACATACACATTTTCCTGTTGTGGCAGATGGCAGATAGTGCTGAAAAGCTGAACTAGGAACCACTCCCATAAACTCTTTTTTTTCTTGGATCATGTGGAAATCGACTGGCAAGAGAGTTACTTTTACAATGATCTAAGACATGTTTCAAATAAAACTCTTTTCACTTTGATTTGGACTAATATTGAGAGTAAGATGTCTAGTGGCTTTTATAAGCAGAACTTAGACTCTGTGATAAGACAGGTGCTGATTTACACAGGTTGCCTCCCTTTGTCATCCCCAAACATTAAGGTAGCAAACTGCAGCCCCATTTTACAGACAGGGAACCCAAAGCCTGAGTGTGTCCACAACTTGTCCAAGGTCATAACAGCAATGTGTGGAGTCAGCATTTGATCCCACAATAATCTGCTTCCAAAAGCACCCTCTTTTGAGTCACTTTATAAGTTATAGTCAAATTTTGATATAATATACAAGTAATCCCTTCACTGAAACATGTTATTTCAGGTAATGTTTCTGCTACTGTCAAGTGAAAACAAGCTGCAGCTGATTACAGGCATGGCTAGCCATGAGAAATCAGTCACACCGACAGGTAAGATCACTGCCAACCACAGAGCCTGGCCCTTAGGGTATCACAGTAAATGGAAACAGGGCTAGAAAGGAGGGAGGGAGAGAGAGAGCTCTAGTAAGTAAATTTTTTTCTGAGAGAGGGAGGAGAGAGAGAGAGAGAGAGAGAGAGAGAGAGAGAGAGAGAGAGAGAGAGAGAGAGAGAATGAGTTTGTCTGTATATGTGTATTCCTGTATGTGTGGGAGTGCACGTACCTGTGTGTCAATGTAGAACTCAGAGGACAACCTTAGGGACTGGTCGTTGCCTTCTACCTTGTTCGAGACAGGGAGTATTCCAGGCTGGGTGGGCCAGCAGCTTCCAGAGATTCTCTATCTCTGCCTGTCATTTCTCCATGTGGATACCCTGGGATCCTCTGTGCTAAAGTCTAGCTTTTTATGTGGGTTCTGGGGATCCAAATTCATGTCATCAGGCTTGTGCAGCAAGCACCTTACCCACTGAACCATCTCCTCAGCTAGTAAACATTTTTTGTATTGTATTATACTATGTAGTTTAGTCTTTCTAGAGACATTTACAAATTAAAAAAAAAGTATTACTGGATAAAATGCTTTTCAGACCAGAAAATTTCCCTAAAAGAAACTTGTTTAATCTTAGCACTTGGGAGGTAGAGGCAGGCAGATCTCTGTGAGATTGAGGTCAGCCTGGTCTACACAGCAAATTCCAGGTTAGCTAGGGCTACAGGGAGAACTTGTCTCAAAAACAAACAAACAAAAAAAAACAAAGAAGACACAACAATCTTTGGAGTTAGAGCCCCTGTTCTGGTCTGCAACAGCATGTCACATATAAAGAGAAGTACGGGCCAGACTGCAGAATTTGAGATGCCAACATCAAGGCAAATTTCCTGATTCTAGGTCTACCTGTGTTATTCTCTTGCATGATATAAAAACTTAAGGAAAGCTCATTATGACCCAAGTGACATGGCAAAACAGGGGTTTCAGGAAGATACCAGAAATCAGACTTCAAAGGGCCTTGGAAGTTTATTAATGATTTTGAACTTGATCGATACAGGTACCTGATGTTTAGTAGACTAGCTGGGAAGGAGGCAAAGTGGGAAGCCACAAGACAAATCACAGAATGCTGAGAGGAGGTGTGGGATGTGAGGCTCTTGTTCTTAGCATGGTTGAATTCTCTGTGAGGCAGAAAACAGGCCCTCTCCAAGATCCAAGGACATTATTTATAAATGGAGAAGGGGCCAGCGAGCAAGGGAACTGTACATGGCAGCACATGCCTGCCATCCCAGCACTGAGAGGCTGAGGCAAGATCACAGGTTTGCAAATTGGCTTAGGCTATTCAGGTAGACTCTGTCTCAAAAACAAAAACAAGTAGTAAGAGAGAAAGAAAATGAGGGGGAGAAGGGTTTGCTGGACATCATTCAAGCTTCAAGATCACTGATTTTAGAGGCCCCAATCTCTATGCTGATGTGTTTCCCTTTGGAAGCACCGAGCAGAGATGTCTGGGGAGTCAGGACAAGAAAGAGTTGGGCCTCTGGTCCATCTGAGGACTTGGGAAAACAAAGGCTCAAGTGTTGGTCTGAGGACTGGATCACTGAATAGGAAAATAAATGAAGTCTCCTTTATAGGAGAAAGTAGAAAAACCAAAGAAGTCTCTAGGCTGACAAAGTGAGTACCACCTAACAAACCAGATGGAAGGTAAGTTATTCACCCTGGTTCTCTCACGACATCAGCAAAGCTTAGAAAGATGGCGAGAGGCTTCAAAGAAGACACGGAAGGGGAGCAATGACAACAGTACAGTATGGAAAGGCAGTGAGTGGGGAAGGCAGGTGCTTCGAGTTGAGTGAATGTGAAGAGTTCCACCAGGCAGAGGACAGGCCAGCTGCGAGGAGAATTAAAGGTCTAAGGGCTCATGAAATCAGTGGTTCCTCCTCGGGATGACTTTAGTTTAGAACATTTGAGTAGACTGAAGACAAGGACAACTTGACAATGGCAGCTGTCAACCTCGGGTGCTTGAGGCCATAGCTTTGGACCCTTCAGAAAAGAGCTTTCTATTGATTAGGGACATTTCCATTTTAATTCTTAACGAAGTGGGAGGACTTCATTTCTGGGTCCTGTTTCTAGATGTTACATCTTAGCTGGTTTCTAATGAATGTAGTATTCCTTTGCTACATAATGATTCCCATTTCCTGAAAAGACTAAAATAAAAAAATCAACAGCAACAACACAAAACACATAGATGCTCACTCTTAACCTAAAACAGGGCAAAAATAATAATAGAAGAGAATCATGATTCCAAATTAGGGACCCTATTTAAAACATGAGGTGATAGGAGCTGTTGCTGATAGCACATAACTTCTGTTAGGTATTATATGTTTACTAATTATACTTTTAAATGCATCTGTTTCCACAACCCATAATTATTTCAGACAGCAAACCATAATAGACTATAAAATACAAATGTGAGCATGTCAGTATCTATAAAATGTATCAAGTATAATTGTATTTAAATGTGGCTGCCTTTTAAAACAAGTATAATTCACTATCTTATATTGAGATTATCATGGCCCCAAATGCTAATTTCCCAAATGTTATAATTAAACGGAAAACCACAAAAGGATGTAATTTTTGCAGCTGTTTTTAACATTTTTAAATGACATTTGGAGGTACCCATAGTGTGTTAGGTCCAACAGAAAAGCACAGCATACAATCTATTTTTATCAGAAAGAATCTTTTCATTAAAACACAGCTAGCATTTTTTAGGTATAACTGCACATCTTGCAATTTACATTCTTGTTATCATCAGCAATGGAAAATGAGGGGGTGGGAGTTTCTCAGTTCACACCATTACTTTGAAAGTGAGACCGTGATTATTTTCTTCTTAGGAGAGAAAGAAAAAAATAAAGAAAAATTTAAATGAACAAAACATAAATGCATCCTCATGCTGTCCTGATGGTGATTGGTTTGGTTGGTACCTATGATGCCATTTCCCTTTCTAAAGGCAGAAAGACAACTACCCATGTCCAGACAACACTTGAGCTGGCAGCTGTAGTAGGGGTGGGCAGGGAGGATAAGGGGGTTGAGCTCCAGAGCACAGCATGCCTGGAAGGGAGTTCCTTCCCGGTAACAGAGGTGAGCCCAGACAGGCATAGTGGTAAAGTTCCCTTCCAGGGTATCTGCCTCTGTTGTCTCAGAGGGAATATGGTCAGATAATAGCAAAAATTACTGCTCATCGGACAGCCCTGGATTTTCTTTGAGTGACTTTTAGGTTATAGTCAATGTAGAGCTGCCAGATTGGTATACACCCACACAGATGCACAGTGAGGCTCTGCTGTCACTGTGTACAATTCTTAATGTATTACAAGAAGAGGTCCCACAGTTTCATTACCTACCCAGGCCTTGCACAGTACTTATCTGTCTCTGATGGCACACATATTTCTGAAAGAGCCCAGGATAGTGCCTAGAATGCCTGGTGCAAATCCCAGTAAGAAAAACCTAGAGCTCAATGGAAGATTTTTTTTAGTTCCCTAGATCTATTATAAGGCATTTAAATCTTTGCCCTGGGCATCAGTTCTCATATAAACTTTCACTGGAAATCTAAGAGTGGCTGCTTTGTAGAGATGACTGACAGGAATTTCCACCCACTCTATGTCACACATCAGGTTATCCAACAGTGACCACTATATACCTATCATTCAAGGATGTGAGTCAAGATGGAGGTCAGATGGGGGTGGGGGAGTTCAGAATGCAATATCATCTGGAAAGTTACCTTTAAGTTAAAAGTCAGAGTTTATACCATAAATACACAAATCACTCTGAATGGTTTTCTAATGAACTTTTACATCCCTAGTCTAGGAAGTACTAACACTTTCCAAATTCTTAAATCTCTACTGTTGCAAACTGAGGATGTGCAAAGAAATAACGGTTGCTTTAAAGAAGTAAAACTTGATGCCATAAG